CGGGCGGCGGGCAGCGGGCGGCGGCGGACCGAAGCCGGAGACCGGCGCCACGGGACGGGAGCGAGCGGGCGCGGGCGCCGAGCAGATGGCCCGGGCGAGCGAGGTCTGAGGCTCGGCTCCCCGAAACGTGACCATGTGGATCCAACAGCTTTTAGGACTCAGGTGAGCGACACGGCTGGCGACAGGGTGCGTGGGGAGTGCGTGGGTGCTGGGCTGGGCTGGAGCGGCGCGCTGCCCGGCGTTGCAAATGAAGGCACCCCTTCTGGCTTCCCGAAAGCGGCCCGCGGGGTGCACCGGTTGCCGCCTGCAGCCCGGAGCCCCGCGGTCCTGCGGGGAGCGGCGGTTCTCCCCGCCTCCGCGCGTCCGGGGTCCGGAAAGAGGCGCTCGCCCCAGCAGCGGCTCCGGGCGCCAGCAGCGCAGTGTCCTGGCCGGCCGCCCCGGCGCGCCTCCTCCCCGGAGCCCAGTGCGAGTCGCCGGCTGTTGGGCGAGGCGGGCGCGGGGGCCGGGGCTGCCGGAGCGAGCCTGCGCTCCCAGCTCCAGGCATGGCGAGGAGTTGGAGGGGAACAGTGCCCCACAGCAGCTCCGCTGGCCCATCCGTCCCTCCCTCCGGGCTCTGGGACTGCGCTGGAGTCCAGTAGGCACTCAGCTGCGGACCCAGCTGGTTTTGGTGACCTCCGGGCCGAAGGTCACACATAGCTGGCGGGCAGCTGGGTCTGGAGAGGTTAGATTACGGGGGAGATCTAACAGGCAACCCTCTCCAAACACCATTCGCACGCACACAAGGCGTGGGCGCGCCCCGAGACTTGTCTGTGCCTGGGACTCCGGGGCCAGGTGGAACTGGAGCCCAGCGCAGAGGTGGAGCTGTTACAGAAAGACCCTTATTAGCAAACTTTGCCCACCCACCGGGTCGCTCTGGCTTTCCCAGTCCTTGCCCAGGACCCAGTTTTCCCTTCTGCAGAGCGAACTGCCTACGAGCCTAGTTAGCTCTGTTGCCCGGGGTCCCAGAGGCAGAGCTGGCGCACTCGGCTAGGGGTTGGAACCCAGGCGGAGCGAAATACAAGGACTCGGAGAAAGCCTGCTTGCGCTTCTCGCGTTTGTCCACTGGGATGCACTGCGCTCCCGTGCTGGGAACAAAAGGGTCTGTGGTTGCCGGAGCTGCTTTATCCACCCCCACCAGCATGAAGCTGGAGAGCGGGGCCAAGGGAGGGTGGACCCGGTGCTTGTCCTGGTTTTGAGAAATCGGAAGGGGACTGGCCTGCGAGTGTTTTCCACCTGTCCTTGATTTATGAGACGATTTGGCACCCAGGGATAAAGCTGTTCGGTACATCCAGTGAGGGCTGTGAAATTCAGCTTTCCTTCTCCCTGTGGTTGCTTGTTTGAGCTGTGGGGCTGTAAGAGGTTGATCACCAGGCTGATATGCTGGGTATGGGGTTGGCTGGGTCTCAGTCCATCGGTGTAGTCTGGCTAGATGAGGTCTAGGCTCCGGCAGTTTTGGAGTATTGACGAAAGCCCAAAAGGACAGCCTTTCTGGGCCGACCTCCGTGCAGGTGCCCTGCCTGCTGTTGCCCTTCCGCCCCGGACTGTCCCAGTGCTCGGCCAGATTTCCCCGGCCTTGCGAACAGCTCAGTGGATCCCCTCCCTGCCCAGGAGCAGCCTGCAGCATCTAGCTGCTTCCCGAGTCCCTGTCTGGCACTTGCTTGCTGGTGGTAACTTATGTGAACAGACTTTTTATTGCTAAGTTGCTAGATTGGATGATTAGTACATTTTGATAAGGGGAGAGGAAAGAAAGCTCTCTTCGGGCTCAAAATTCACAGAGACAGTTCCTCTAAAGCAGAGGGTAAGAGCTGGGCCGTGTGCTTTCAGAAACAGTTCTCTCAGTGGTCTTGAAGTTTGATCTTTTTTGGTCAGATTGCCTGTAACTGTGACCTGGAGGACAAGCTGTTACAGATCCTGATCCGAGATCTAGCCTTGTCTTCCCCGTGGGTGCTGTCTCCTGGCTGGGGTACCAGGCTGTGGCAGAGGATCTGGGTGATTTTGTATCCCACTGGGCAGGCACACAGAGACTGAGACTGTTTGCTTAAGCTCTGAAACGCACATTTGCTTTTAAGACAGGCCCTCCTCGTTGCTCACTGCTGTTAGAGCTCTCCAGGTGAGTACAGGGCATCTTGCTGCCAAGCTTGGAGCCTGGTTAGGACAGGTAGACCCCGAGCCTCCAGTGGAGGTGACAGAAGGCACTCCCTGCAAACGCACATGGAGCTGGCTTTGGTTACTTCAGTGGTGGACCTGAGCTGTACATGGAGCCTCGATGCTTTAGGAGACAGAAGCAGTTGGAGTTGGATCGCTCTGATTTCCCCTTTTTTTCATTG